TCTTGAGATGACTATAGCTCTGTGAGAGACCCAGAACCAAGGACCCAGTTATGCAGCTCCTGGATTCTTGGCCCACAGAAACTCTGAAATAATAAATGCTGTTTTTATATGCCACTAAGGTTTGGGTAATTTGTTATATAGCAATAGATAACTAGCACAGAATCTTGTTTTTCTATTGAAATAACAGATAACTCTGTTGTTGTTTTTTTTAACCAAAATCTTAAAATGAAGATAGGAAAGGTGTTTTTTAGTCCAACCAGAGGTGTTCAGGGTCATCGTGAAAAAATAATTGAAAATATGTAGCCCAACAAATACTGGTTAAATTGAACTGAACTGAGAGATAATGAGCAGCTGAAATGTTAAATATTTGTTATGCTGTAAAGTAGAAGTAGGCTATGGCAATGATGAACCAAACAGTGACTATCAGAAAATGTACTATGATCAAGAGTCCTGTGATAACAATGTTTACTAGTCACAATATTGTTGAGTTGGGAGTTTTGAGGAACTCCAACATTTAACTGAGGAAAATGCACAGGGGAGGAGAGGGAGTGTCAGAGATGCATGAAGATAACCAGATATTGGAGAAGCCAAAAGACAATAAGACAGTTAACATGAGTATGAGAATCTACTACAGCTAAAGCAAGTGAAGGTGGAAGGGGGTATATGGACTTTCTTCCCTACTGGTAACCTTAGCACTGGTTGTGTGCAGTGGTAGCAGAGGAACTAGTTAGACCCAAGAAGGTTGAAAAGTTAATGGGAGCAAAAAAAAAGGGGGGGGGGGATAGTGAGTATAAACAACTACTCAAAACATCCAAAAGAGAAAAAACATAAAAATATCAGGAAAGAAAATATTGAAAAAGAAGTGGGCAGGTGACATAAAAGTTGCTAGTGTGCCAAGAATACATTTGATTCAGGATGACAGAGATTAAGACAGCTGACATAATATGGGCTTTGACACAGTCTTGTAAACCTTTAAAATGAAAGTGTTTTGAATTCCTGACTTCCAAGTGTTATATTGTCAAAGGACAAAAGACATTATGCCTTTTTAAAAGGTTTTTAGAGGATTATCCAAATACTTGGTCACATGGAATTCTTACCTAAGAAAAGGTAAATTATGTGTTGCAAAATAAGTAATCAGATAATTTCCCCAAGTCTAGGGGACAGAAAAAGTCTAATATGCTTACAGTTTCTAGGAGAGTGAAAAATAAGTCACATTCTCATGTTATGGTTCCTTTCTTAAAAAGAGAAAAAGGGTGAAATTTGATCTTCAGAAGTCCTGGGAAACTTTTAGACCTAAGAAAAGACTGAACTGGGGTTGGTGAGGAAAGTGGATATTGGGTGAAACTGGATAATTAAGCTTTGCTACTAAAGGTCTAGCATTATACAAGACAGAGGGAAATAATGAGTGGAAGAGAGGAATTCATGTGCTTAATGCTCTTCTATGTCTGCGCTTAGAACACTGGAATACTTTCCATGTGTTTGATGTATCAAATGTACTCGAGAACATGCAGACCTTTGCACTGGCCAATATTTCAATATTAAAAAGGATACAGGAAAGAAAAATCACTATTACCAAAGGAATAAACTTTTGTCTTTGAAACTTGAAACAACAAATACAAATAAAGCATGAAAAAACATGCTTTGAAGTGTGCTAACAGATCAAGATTGCATTTAGCAAACCACCTTTTCTCTGTTTAGGAACAATCTCACGGATTCCAAAACACAATATGTTAATTAAAGGATTTCAGGTAGCAATCATGGAATATTTTTCGTGACAGATGAAGAACAGATACTCTGAACACTAAAATTGCATAAACACAACAAAGAGACATTGTGTCCCTTTTGCAGCAGCGCAAAGTTAGAGTGAATGCAAATGAATGTGCTGGCAGTAAAATTACACTATTAACCATCTGAAGATTGGGCTCATTACCTAAGAAGGCAAAGCATCAATTTGTAGCATTATAACATTCTGTTTGTGCTGCTGAACACGTGTGTGATGTTTTTATATATTCTCTACTCATTTGGGTGCATGGTAAGCACTTTCGCATCAGCCTCTTGATAAAAGCTTAATTTTGTATTGTTTCGGTTACATTGTTTTCTCTAATGGGAATGATATTCTGTCTTAAAAATAAACACTCCATTTATTCTCCAAATAATTCTGAGTTCAGGTTCTTCTGTTTCTCATTATCAAATGGCCTGTACACTATTACAGATATATCTTATTGAGCACACTGATTTGAAAAAATGTATATTTGAATACCATGAGGAATATATTCATTCAGTCAGTCACTCATTCTTTCACTCTGCTAATGCACATGTATTGGGCTAAGAACACTGGGAAATTCACGGATGGATGCGACACTGTCTCTGCCTTCAGGATGTTTCTAACGTCAGAAGTGGTAGAGTGTTATTAGTACCTTCAGGACAGGCATAGAGCTATCGAATATCCGAGGAAAGAGACAGCAGTGTATTCCTGCCTTCTACAAACTTTTTTTTTGTTTTTTTGACCACCTAGATGTTATTGGCACTGTTCTAGGGCTGGGTATATAGAAGGGAACAAGATAGTCAAGGTCCCTAAGCTCATGGGTCCTGAATTTTGGGAGAGAGATTAAAAATAAGGAAAAAACAAACAAATAAATAATGTAACTTTGGATAGCCATAGGTGCCATGGAGAAACTAATGCAGGGCAATGGGAAGGACAGTGATAGTATGTGAGGAGTGTGACTTTGAGGTCTGAAAGCCTCCGTGAGGAGATCGTAGCCGAATAGAGGTTTGATGATGTATAGGAGCAAGTGTGAAAATTTGAATAAAAGGCTTTCCAGACAGAGACCAGTATGGAAAGGGCTTGAGGCAAAAATGAGCTTGGTATATTCTGGAACAAGAAGAAGCCACATAACTAGAGTTTAGGGAAATAGGAGAGTGAGAGATGAGGTCATAGAGGTGGGAACGGGCCAGATCCTATTGACTTCTGTAGGCTACGATAAGGATTTTATTCTAAGTGAGAAGGGAATCCATTGGATATTTTAAACAGGGTGTGGCATGATCTGATTTACATTTGAGAAGGAGAAGGATCATTCTGGATGCTGTGTGGAAATTCAAATGTAGAGTCATAAGAAAGGTAACTAGTACAGAGATTAGGTGTCTATGAATTAAGTATCCAAGCTAGAGAGAACCAATGAGAAATTAACTCCAGTAGTCTAACTTAGAGGTGATAGATTAGAACCCATCATGCTAGTTCAGTTAGAGGTGGTTGGTTTGGACTAGGGTGATAATTACCAATGTGAGAGGAGTGGTTCCCTTTCAGGGGAAGTTTCACAAAGGAAGTGATATGGAGCTACTTGAACTGAACTTTAAATGATGGGTAGCATTGTGACAAGGGGGTAGTCACTTAGTTTATTGAGTGCCTATGATGCACTGCACACTGGACTGGGTGTTGGGGATACAGTAGTGCCGAAGTCCTTGTAGACAATGAGGAGCAACTTGCTGAGGAAGTAATATTTTAAGATACAAAAGTAGTGAGGTGAACAATACGCTTATAAGAATTACTTCTGGAATTAGTTTTAAGGTCGCTTTATTTTTTCCCTTTACTGTAGAATATTGTATGATGCAACTCCTTTGTACGCTTAACTCTCCTTGAATTTGCAAAAGTGTTAACTTTCTATCAGTAGAAACTCAGTTCACTGTCAGTTGGCAAATTTCATCAGATCACTTCCTTAGAAACAGTGGTTAATATTTATCTTTCTCATTCTGAGAAATTATAGCCTCATTAGGAAGGAAAAGAGCAGAGGAGAATACAAAGTATATAAGTTTTCATATCTAGGTGTAAGTATTACTGCTCATCTGCTTTCAGTCTTGCCCCCTGAATCTTTTCCCAGCTGGTTGACCCAACTTCAACTTTTCCTCCTTCTAATTCCTGTTGTATACTGCCTCCCAAATTGACTGGCCTAAAGCAGTCCAGTCATGTCTGTTCCCTAGTGTCTACAGAACAAATTTCAAATTCCTTAGCCTGACACAAACTAACCCAACCTACTTTTACTGCTTTATCTCTGACTATACTCTCTACTCTCTAATTGTTTTAATTACACTGGATTTTTTTATTTTTCTAAAAATTATTAAACTGTGGTGAAATAATAAAACATAAAATTTACCCCCTTAACCATTTCTAAGTGTACAATTTAGTGGCAATGATTGAGGACATTCACATTGTTGTGCAAATCCCACTGCATTTTAAATCACACAGTATTGCTATTCCCCTAATACTCCTTGCAATTTATATTTATATTTATATGATTTCTGCTGACCCCTGAAATGTTTTCCCTTTCCTTATCAGTTAAAGTCCTACATATCTTGCAGACCAGTGCTAGGATCCTACCTCTTGCTTTAGGCTCCTATGAAACCTTATCTGGAAACAGAAGGTCAACTCTGTTGCTAGGTAACAGTGCTTACAGTTAAAATGCCACCTTGGTTGGCAAATTGCATCTTGACTGGGAGGATTGATACATGAACTATAAATACCTGATGGGGATGTGATACTTTGGTCTTTCTTGAGTGATGACGCTTATAATTAGGTGGATTCCTTGCCCCTGGAGGCTAAGTTTACAGAATTGTACAAGAGATATTGCCTCTTATGGGACATGACACTTCAAATCCAGGACCATTCTCACACTCATCCAATATTGATCTTGTCTTCTTGTACCTGAGCTGTCACCTGAGAGGCCTGTGCTGATGTTTGTACCAATATAAAGGACTCTCACTGAAGAGAAACTCTGAAGGTGCCCTGATGGTCAGTGGAGTTTCCTCTGTGACATCCTTCTGGTAAACCTAAAGCCAAGCATGGCCCATAGTAGTCTTGTGAGTCTGAATGTTTGGCTGGACCTAATAAGAACTGCTTTTGGGAGTTGCATCAAAATGTAGAAATGTTGTCCTAAGTACTAATAACCCTTGCACATCTGGACTCAAAACTGCTGTACATAGGGCCAGGGTAAGAAAGCATTGCTTACCTTTGGAAGGAGCTGGATTGCCTGTAGAATTCTTTGTCTGTGCCCAGAATTAAGGATTCCAATTTCCAATAAATCCTGATCTTCCATAACATTACTTCCCTGAAACAAAGCCAGAAGTGTTACAAGTTAATTCAGGCATTTTTACTATGGGTAAATAATGATTTATTTAATGCAGAGAAAAATAACCAACAAGTGATCTGATTTCTACATACAAAACAGTCATTCTTCAGTGAGGGTGAGGGCAAGTAAGGGGTCACCTATGTGACTGAGTTGAAGGTTCTGGGAAAGCTTCCTTCCCCCCAGAAATGCTCTCATGACTTACTATTTATGGTTGGGTTATCTGTATTGGGGACTCATTCCTGTGGCTTCAAACTCTGTTCCTGGAAGAATGTAAATGCTTCTAGGAAGAGCTGCTGTTTAGGATCATCAGTGATCTGCCTATATGTTGATATGAATGAATCAGTTTTGTCTTCCCCTAAAAACAGATTTTGAGGGGCGCCTGGGTGGCTCAGTTGATTAAGTGTCCGACTTTGGCCCACGTCATGATCTTGCAGTTCGTGAGTTTGAGCCCCACATTGGGTTGTCCGCTGTGGGTGCAGAGCCTGCTTCAGATCCTCTATCCCCCTTTCTCTGCCCCTTCCCCACTTGTGCATGTGCTCTCTGTGTCTCAAAAAATATATAAATAATAAAAACAATTTTTAAAATAGATTTTGAGAAGAAAACTGATTAAAAATTATAGCATACTAGGCAGGTTAAAAGTGAGAATTAATAATTAATCTTAAAACACTGAATGCCAGACATCTCTGATCAAGATATGGCGATACAACAATGAATAATTTGCAGGCCCCTGTCTTTATTCTTTCCATTCCAGGTATGGAAACAGATTTTCAAACTCAGTTAAGATGCTGTGAATATGCTATGGTGGTAGCACGTGCTTGGGGGCCCTGAAGGGATCCGGGATGTGTTTTCAGTTGGAGATCATGACTGAAGCCTGGTTAGGACCTAGCACTGAAAAGAGGAAGGACAAAAGTGGAATTATGTGCAGTGTCCTATGGGTGAGAAAGAACACAGCACATTTGGAAGCACTGGCTTCTTGGCTGAGTTGGAGAGAGGAACAAAAGGTAAGGCTGGCAAGGTAAGCCAAAGCAGACTGTTCAGACATTGTACACCAGGCTGAGGAATTCAGACTTCATCCTGACCGTAACAGGAAGCCACAGACAAATTTTAAGAAAAGGAGTTACATGATGATATTTCAAATTTGGAAAGATCAATTTTAGATTCTGTGGCTGGGCCTCTGTTTCCTTACCTATAAAATGACAAAGTTGAGCTACAGGGTCTCCAAGGACCAACCTAATCCTGAAATTCTCTGATTTCAATGATTTTTTAGGCCTTTGATTAATATTCTAATACAAAAATTTATAAATTGCTTATTTTGTACCTAAAGATTTTAGTCTTTTGTAGTTTGTAAGCTAGAGTTTTCCTTTAAATTGAGAGGTCTGTAGAGAAGCTCAGAACTGGATCACTCCTCTTCTGAACAAATCAAACTGTCCTACTAATGTGTAACACAAAAACACTTGTGAGTAGAAATTACAGAACACACATTTATGGAGAGCGGTGGTGCTGATAGTTAAAGCAAAAGAGAGTGAATTGGAAAGGGCAATCCTGAGAGCATGGAGACTCTTGGGAGGCTATTGTGGTTGTTCTAGAGACAATGTGGGCTTAGACCAAGGTGGTGACCATGGGAGATAGAAAGAAATGGGTGGGTTTGAAAACTATCAAGAAGCTTGATTCAGTGACTGAATATATTGAATGATGGAGAAACGCAGGACACACATTAGTTCTAGTCTTGGGCAGTGGGGGTGGATCATGATGCCTTTTCCTGAGATAATAAAAAGAGGATGGGCCAGTCTAGTGTGGTACAAAGTGAGACTAATATCTTTCTCTGTACAGGGACAGAACAGATGGATATAAACAATTTAATATCATACTACATTATAATGGATAATTGATTGTTCTTAGAAAGATTAAAGCTGTAAGAATGGTACCATAGTTAGAGATTTAAAGTGGGCATTCACTGGACACAAACATTCCACCTACTCATGGTATCATTCCTATGCTTAAGCTACCCTGGCCTTCTCAGAGGAAGCAGAACCAACCAGGTATATAGCAGCATGATAATGAAAAGCCTAATGAAAAACAAATAAAGCCAGTCTTGGCAAAATGCCACAGGAAACATTGCTCTCAAGAAATTACTCTGTGCACACAATAGAACATGGCTAAGAATATAAATGGCTTCATTTTGAGAAAGTGTTTTTATTTTCAGAAATGGACTAGCATGTCATGAGTAGGATATATGATACCACTCTATATTTGACTTTTAGTCTCTAAAGGGTTTTCCAAAAGGAGTTAAAAGGATCTTAAAAAACAAAAACAGGGGCGCCTGGGTGGCACAGTGGGTTAAGCGTCCGACTTCAACCAGGTCACGATCTCGCCGTCCGTGAGTTCAAGCCCCGCGTCAGGCTCTGGGCTGATGCGTCAGGCTCTGGGCTGATGGCTCAGAGCCTGGAGCCTGTTTCTGATTCTGTGTCTCCCTCTCTCTCTGCCCCTCCCCCGTTCATGCTCTGTCTCTCTCTGTCCCAAAAATAAATAAACGTTGAAAAAACAAAAACAAAAACAGAAGACAAAAAATAAGAAACAAAAAACATTGTCCATCTATGTGTTAGATCACTACCAGGTTTTCCATGGGCTAAATTACCAGCCTACAACTTCAGCTCATACGAAATGTACTGGTTTCTTTGTGCATACACAAAACAGACCAGAATTCTGATGTGTCTTGTGTTTGTCTTCTGTCTGTGTCTTCTGTTTCAGTAAATATAGATACCTAGTATCTATAGGTAATCCTGAGAATTTGTTTTTAGTGTTTGAATACTGAAATTATTTGAAGAATTAAATCCTTAAAACCACTGTTCTTCTAAACTACCAATATACTGTTTTCTCTATCTTCAGTAGGAAGAACCTTTTTGAAAAATTGTAGGGAAGTTAGACATCTCTTTGGGGCAAATTTCCTAGCATATGGAATAATTACCAAACACTTTTGAAAAATGAGTGAAAATTTGGGAAGCACAGTGCAAATGGTGAGAATGTGCCCAAGGGGAAATGGTACTAATTTTGGAAACATAAAGAAAAGGATTCACTGTCCCCAATGAGGCATGCTGTTAGAAATTTTCTATTTTCTCTCTTATTGTAATATATAGAGATACCAGAAATATCCTGTGCATCATCTAGCCAGTCTTTTTTTTTTTTTTTTTTTTTTGAAACACCAGTAGGCTTGGAATCTGAAGATCTGGATCTAAATCTTGTTTGGGTAAACTTGGTTAAGTCATGTATTATTTCTAGGCCTCATGGTCCTCACCCGTAAAATGTAGTTCAATGAATACTCATTCAGTTCTAAAGCAGTATGATTTCAGTCATGTCCAACTTTTGATTAGTATCTTTATGTATAAATATAGATTGTATAATTTGAAGTTACATTTACATTGCAATTACATTTTAGTGTTTCAGAACTTGCAACCTAAAGATAGCTTTAAGAAGTACAGTTGACTCTTGAACAACATGGGTTTGAACTGCAAGGGTCCATTTAAACCTTGATTTTTAAAACAAATACAGTACAGTACTGCAGATCTATTGGCTTTTCCTTATGACTTTCTTAATAAAATTTTCTTTTCTCTGTTACTTTATTATAAAAATACAGTATATGATACACATAACATGCAAAATCTATGTAAATTGACTGTTAATGCTATTACTAAGGCTTCCTGTCAACAGAAGGTATTAGTAGTTAAGCTTTGGGGGAATCAAAAATTATATGCAGAGTTTTGGCTGCACGGTGCAGGTGTGGGGGGTGAGGTCAGCACCCTGAACCCCTGCATTGTTCAAGGGTCAACAGTAATTACAGAGAAGTGCAAGAATGCACTTTTTTTCTTGACAAATTAATCTCAGGACTAGGTAGGAATTTATAACATTTCTTATTAAAATAAATGATAGAATACCTTAGTTTTGTAATATCATGGATTCTTACAGCTTTTTGGAGAAAAATAAAATATTTCACATCTTACAACTAACCATTTCATTTGCATTTGGGTAACAGATGTGCCATCAAGGACAATAAACATTTCCATTCTTCCTGGGGAGCTGGAATTTATTCTCATGTTATCACCTGCCTTCACTAAATGTTAGAAAAATCCCAGCTTTTTTTTCCCTCAATAATAGCTGAACGTAAACTCTAGCTTTCTCCCTCCTCCATTCATTTTTCACATGGCTGCTAGATCAATGTTTTCTGGAGTAGAGCTTCATTATGTGTGTCTTCTGCTTAACCATCTACTATACTGCACCCTCTACCTCCTCATCACCAGTACGCGTGCTGTGTCTACTTCTACATCTCCCATTTACTTCTCAACCCACCACAATAAGCCTTTACCCTCACTAACTCCATAGAATGTCTCTGCCAAATGGTAAGAAAGACTTCTAAATTGCCATATCTAATTGATTCTTTTCAAACCTGATTTCAAAAAAATGCATTGGCCACACGTGGCTGGTGGCTACAATACTGGACAACACAAACAGAGAATTTTTCTGTTATCTTAGAAAATTCTACTAAACAGTACTTCTCCACAATTAAAGGCATTTAAACTATAGTTGAATCACAGAGATGGGGCAAAAATGGGGATTGCAAGGGAATCAGAACAGGGAGTCAGAAATACTCATGAGTCATCCTTAGGACATAATTGATGTGCTTCTTAGTCAAAGTTCATGAACATAAAATTTAAGGACGTTTAGCAAATTTTCTTCTGATTTTTCAGCCATTAAGAAAAAATAGTAGCCATTCTATTTTCATTAGTGTTTCTTTATTACGGGGCTAGAAATATATGCTATCAAAATGACAAGCCCAATTGAGGAGTAATTTATTGTTTTGTTAGCATGCTACCAGGCACATTGCACAAGGCGTTTAAGGAATAATAATGAGTAGATAAAGTTGCTTAGTTAATGACCTACTAGAAGGATCAAAGGCCCAAGGCAGTGTTTTTAGAATAGCTGTTCTT